ATGGTGGATAAACGATAATAATACAGTTTTCTATCCATCCCATTTCTATACCATCGCTGATGGTTACCAACTGGAATTTCTTTAACTGAATCGGTTGTTCGTAACTCAATACCTGGCTTCTGATAAAATTCATATATTCGCCATACTCTTTTTGCTTCTGGTGTTTCAGGATTTGTCCTTGCCAGTTTTAATTTATCGGTACCCAATACAGTAGATATTATTGGTTTACCAGTGGTGTTGCAGACAGCGTCAATTAATTTTTCATTTAATTCTTCTAATGATTTCGGTGGTCCAACAGGTTGTCCGTCATTAATTTTATTTCCCTTTCGTCGAAGAAGACAGTCACAACATCCTGCTTCTGTTGGCAATGTTGTTACATCAAACGTTTTTATTTTATCCAATATTAGTGATGTTGCATATTCAGCAACCTTTTGTATTGATGTTTTCCGTTCTCTGTTCAATACGATATCCACCGTTACTTTCATACATGTACAACAATTTGTTTTAACTTGTTGTACAGATGATGTTGATTTGATACTGTCTTTTCTCTGCGACAGTACACATTGCTCCAACTGACACTTATAAATAATTGTTAGTTGTCTTGAAATATAATTTGCAGCTTCATGAAATTTCTGTGGTGTATCCAACTTTCCAATTACATTTAATGCATTTGTTATTCGATGTGCGTCCCATTTTTTCAGTCCAGAAACAACGCCACCTGCCACCTGTTCAACCGTTGCTCCTCCTGGTAACGATGTAAAATGGTTGACAACTCGTTTTATTATTTCAAAGCCCCACTTTAAACCTTGAGCACCAGTTGACAATGCACCCGTAAGACAATGACTTACCATAGCTGATGATACAATTCGAGAACTATCAAATACATTACAAAGAGAAATACACAATGATCTATAATATTGCTGTTGTACTTCTGATCCTTCGAATTCATCCTCCGTTTCTTTCATCATATCAACTTTATGTTTTAATATAGCTAGAGCTTCGGCTTTTGCGGCTTCGCGCTGGCTCAGTGGACGTTCAAAGTTATTGAAATTTTGTTGAGAATTGATGAAAGCTGATAATTTTTCTAAATTACCATGAAACGCTTGGCTCAAATTTTCTATGGCACTCAATTGTTTATTGACATAGTTTTCAATATCGTTTCGAAGAGCCTTTGTAGGATCTGTACATCTATGAGCTATTTTTTCAGCTGAATATAAGTCGTTAAGAGCTGTTCGAACATAGGCATCAGGTTTAATTTGACTTCCATGTTGTTCTTGATCTAGTCGTTTAGCTTGATCGTAATATTCTTGAGCTGATTCATGTGTTTCATCTGGGTTTTTTTTGTACGGAGCCACTTGTTCTAAACAATCTCCGAGATTCATGCAATTGTTGTCGTTTTTCTGATCATCATTATAGGCTTTNTAAAACGAAAGAAAGAAAAATCAGAAAATTTTCAAAATACTGTTCAGATCTGCCAACATCTTTAGTCCTTTAAACGCGGACGTTTTTTATGTACGACCTTTTTCGTTGCTTCATTTAACTTTTGTGTGTAATACTGCGCAGGGTCACCAAGCAGAAGTGCTTTACGTTTGTCATGTATCGCTGCATTGTGCCTGCCTAAATTATAATGTAGCATACCTCGAGCATAATAAACATCTGCATGATAGGGTGCTAACTTTTGTGCTTCTTTAAAATTTAATATCGCTCCCTTATGATCGTTTAGCGCAATGTTTGATATACCAAGACGAAAATGTATACGATCCGGTCTTTCGGATTCCTTAATAGCTTGTTGAAAGTCTTGAATGGCTTGTAAATGGTCATCTAAACACGCGTGTGATAGACCACGTCGAAACAGAGCATCGGAATTATGTAAATTATTTTCGAGAGCTGTGTTATATGACTTAATTGCTTCAATGTGATTGCCGAGTTCATTTTGTGCTAAACCCACTAGATAAGCGTCAGAGCATTGAGAACAAACGCGCTCAAGGTCTTGTATAGCATCATTGTATAAACCGAGAGTACCATATGCTCGACCACGATAAAGACGATATTCTGCTCGATCTGGTTTTGATGTAACTGCTTGATCAAAACAGGCTAATGCTTTATCATTTTCATTCAGATACAAATACGCACAACCCATACTAAACCGTCCTTTTGCTAACAAATCGGTATCTGTTGCTTTACACTGAGCAACAAACAGTTCATAATCTCGAAGAGCCATATCATATTGTCCAATCAAATGTTTAGCATAAGCTCGTTTGTACAGAGCATCGCCATATTTCGATGACTTCCCATCAATAGCTGAATCAAAATCTTTAATTGCTTGTTCATATTGACCAAGTTTAATTTTAGCACATCCACGAAAATAGGACACATCGTGTATTAATGTTCCTGGTGATTTGTTAGTCAAACTTTTATCAAATTTCTCAATGGCCTTCTGATATTGTTTATCTCTGGCATATTGGAGCCCTTCATTTAAATCAGTGTCAATGTCCTCCATGATTCACCAAGTTTCTAAAAGCGAAAGTATAAGTAATTCCCCCTAATAAGACAAAGATTTATCGTGGTAGCAGAGAAAAAGATATTTCTTGTCTAATTTTTTGAAAGTAGTAGATGTTTGAGAACCTGTCGTTGAAACGGAAAGAGATCCATTACTTTTCTACAATAAACCCAAAGATCACATAAACCATTGTTAGAGTAGTACAACTTACACATTTAATTATTATAGTATTATAATTCTCAAAATTCTTTTCGTTAGTTTTGCATAGTTACGACCACAGGCTGAAGTACTGTTTTCTTTTCTCTTTCCCTTTTTTTTAAAAGCAAATTCATGTTTACTATTTCATTTGCAGTTTTTTTTCTTTTCTGTACAATTTACGCATTTAATTTTTATAGTATTATAATTGTTAAAATTCTTTTCGTTAGTTTTACATAGTTACGACCACAGGAAGTACTGTTTTCTTTTCTCTTTCCCTCTTTTTTAAAAGCAAATTAGAACTACGACAAAAATCGTTTCTTTTCTTTTTAAAAGAAATTTTATTCTTTCTCACGTGTTTTTTTCCGTTATATAGTGTGAAATATATGAAACAGTGTTTTTTTCTTTTCTGTGCATGTTTCCGCTCGTTGCCTTTATACACAAATATACTGAAAAATAACGTAAAGAGAGAGAGAGAACGAGAAGAAGAGAATCTTCCACGGATGGCACTTTAAAAAAGTTTTGCAGTTAACTGCAAAGTTAAGTTTACATGTTCGAATGTTTATTCGTACAAAATTGATTTTGTGCTCTTCGATAGGTTTAGTTTAGAATACTATAATGGAATATTTTTTCGATTGTATCCTGAGAATAAAGCTTATACCAAAGTTTTGCATCCGCATACATGGGCGCGGACGGACATTCTGTTCATGGACGAAAACTTTTTTCCGTGATAAAATACCACCAAATTATCTGATTTTTGTCTTAGAAGCCCACTTTATTCTCTATATTCCACAAGCATAAATTTTTTACATTAAGAATATTTGGAAACGTTAAAACAAGGAAAAAACTGCTTGAAAACAACAGAAAACACTTTATTGCTCGAGAGTACGCCTGTTCATCATTTTAACTGATCTTATCAATAAAATATTGTCAACTTGTGATGGATTCACATTGCATCGAATCAGAATTAAAAAAAACTCCTGCATTTTCCAGTGTAAGCTAGAGACATCCGCCACTAGCGAACCTCTCTCTACTAAGAAAAT